TCAACCTCCACCTCCTCCGCCTCCACCTCTACCTCTGGCTCCGCCACAACCACTACAGTGAATAGATGCAATCATGGCTAGGCTACTTGAAGTGATTGTGAATATACAATAAAATCTCAGAGGACATGCTATTCCAATCAGCATGTTGACCCAGGTACTGGCTAGGGATCTTCTAATGCTGTGGGAGCTTAGGGACTGGTTGCTGATAATTGAAAGGATGACATATCTAGCCCTTTGAAGGAATTCCCTCACTCTAATCTAACCACATATGATAGTAGTATGCTTGATAGGAAAGCTGAGGAGTGGTTAGATCAAATAGAGCAGTTATTTACTATAGTGAGGTATACAACTAAGTAGAGGGTTATCTTGGCTACGATGCAACTTGTTGGTGAAGCCAAGCATTAGTCAGATTTGGTAAGCCCACGGATGAAAGATCTATGGCTTGGGCCGAATTTAAGGAAATATTTTATGATTTTTACTTTCCACCAGCTTTCAGAGAAGAGAAAGAGGCAGAGTTTCATGCTTTTTAGCAGGGAGACTTAGATGAGGAGACCTTTATAAGGAAATTCAATCAGTTGTCTAAGTTCTTGACTTATTTAAATGCTTTCAATGATAACAAATGGAAAGCAAAGAGGTTATTAGAGACGATGAGACTAGAGTACCGCCAGTAACTATCTTTGCCAGGCGAGGTGACATATAATGAGATGTGTAATTACCTAAGGATTATCACTCGCAGAGGCCAAGACATAGAGAGTAGCTGGAGTAGGGATACATGAGGTCAATTCTCTTCTAGGTTGGCTCCTACCGGTGGTGTATCTGAGAGAATGGTTTTAGCTCTGGTTCTTCTTCTAGTGGCTCTTTTAGAGCTGGGTCTTCTTTTGCTTTTAGTAATCAAAATTTAAATAAGGGTTCAAGATTTCAAGGTAATCGGAGTGGTAATATGAAATTTGTGTGTTCTCGTTTCTCTAGGAATGCTCCAACACATTCTTCACAAGCCAGTTAGGCCCCAATTCTGAGCACAGCAAGGTCACCTTGCGATAGATGTGACAGGGTTCATTCTAGTCGTTGCTTTGCTTGCTACAAGTATGGAAAGTAAGGCCATTTGATCTATGACTGCCCTGATTTACATGAGAGCTCAGACTAGAGGAACGTGATTCCCAATAAAGTGTATACAGTATCTCAGGAAGAGGCTAGGAAGTCATCGAATTTGATCACTGGTATGGTTTCTATATGTGGCCTTGATTTAGAAGCGTTGTTTGATTGTAGAGTGATGCATTCTTTTATTTCTGCTGAGCACTTAGATAGAATAGGTATGCCTGTTGACCAGTTACCCTATGATATAGAAGTTTCCTCTACTTCTGGTTTGGTCAGTCGATCCAGTGTGGTGTGTAAGACTAAGATGACTTTTAATGGGCAATCGACTTGGGTGAATGTGATCAAATTACCTATGCAAGGGATTGATTTAATCATTAGTATGGATTGGCTGACAGCTTATGGTGCTGTCTTAGATTATGTGGCTAAGACTGTGACTTTGGTAGAAGTACTAGAGCTAATCAAGGAATACCTTGGTTATTCTTGTTTTCTTTCTTCTTTGCAAGCTAAAGGATTAATTGAGCAGGGTTGTGAGGCTTACGTGGTAGTGCTCGCTACCCAAGGGTCTAAGGTAGGTAAAATGGATAAAATTGAGGTTGTTAGGGAGTTCTCAGAGGTGCTTTTAGAGGATGTGTCAGGATTGCCTACAGAGCGTGAGGTTGAATTCTCAATTAATCTGATACTGGGGACACAGCCAAGTTTAAAGGCTCCCTATAGAATGGCTCCTTTAAAGTTAGTTGAGTTGAAGAAGCAGCTTGAGGAGCTATTAGATAAGAGATTTATTAGACTCAGTGTTTCTCCTTGGGGATCCCTGTCTTATTTGTGAAGAAAAAGGATGGTAGTTTGAGATTGTGTATTGATTACAGGCAGTTGAATAAGGTTACCAAGAAGAAAAAGTACCCACTGCCTCGCATCAATGATCTCTTGGATCAATTAGTTGGTGCTATAATTTTCTCTAAGATTGATTTATATTCAGGGTACCATTAGCTGAGGGTTAGTGAGAAGGATGTCGCAAAGACAGCTTTCAAGACTCGATATGGCCATTATGAATTTTTGGTTATGCCATTCGGGTTGACTAATGCACTTGTAGTTTTCATGGACTATATGAACCGCATCTTTCAGCCTTTCTTGGATTAGTTTCTTAGTTTTTATTGATGATATATTGATCTACTCTAAAAATAAGGAGCAGCATGACAGATACTTGAGGATTGTCCTAAGGTTTCTGCGAGATCATAAGCTATATGCCAAGCTTAGTAAATGCAAGTTTTGGATGAGAGATGTTAGATTCTTGGGACATATCGTGTCGGCAAATGGTATTACAATTGATCCGCATAAGGTTGAAGTGGTCTTGCAATGGGAGAGACTAAAATCGATAATAGAGATCCATAGTTTCTTGAGGTTAGCAGGTTACTACTGGCGCTTTATCAAAGATTTTCCTCAGATTTTGATGCCTTTCACTAGGCTCACGAGGAAGGATAGGCCATTTATCTAAGATGATAGGTATGAGATGGCTTTTCTTGAGTTGAAAGAAAAGTTAATGACCTCTAATCAGAGCAATTCCAGAGGCCATACCTCACATTCAAAGGATACGATAAGTGTACCAAATAAATCCATCAAAACCACACGCCATTCTGGGAGATGCAATCTGGAGACTGAGGATTAAATGAGGAAGGAGTATCCACAGTTGTTTTTCTAGGTATATTTCTCTCTTTAATTCATGAATTAGCTTGGATTTTGGAGACAAAATCCTTTTTAAAGGAAGAGAGAATGTAACATCTTGAAATTTTAAGACTCAAATTTATTTTAAAAATAAAAATAAAATATTTATAATTAAATTAAAATTAAGAATACTATGATAGAGGTCCCGAGTTTGAATTTTATTAAGCAAAAGTTTAGTTTTATTTTATTTTAATTTTGGAAAAAATTATCAAAGTTGACTCGGGCTTTTGTACTATAATTAAGAAATGTTGGGCCCTTCCTTATAATTTTCTCAAAGTGTTTGAATTAGTTTTTTGATTGCCATTTCACGTAGAAATGAAACAAAGAAAGCAAAAAAATGATAAACTTGTAACGTGTTCAATTTTTATTCCAACAGTTAGATCTTTTTGAAATTTAATGCACTATTATTAATCATTAAGAATCATGTGTAAGCTTTAAAATTAATTCAATCGGAGGCCAGATGATGGAATGGTACCTCTCGAAAGTTGAACCGAGAGGGCTGTCATGACAGCATATTTTTACACCGCTTTTGCCTAACTTGCTTCGCGCTATAGGTAAAATCTATAAATTTTTCTAAAAGTTTTAAATGTTTATTCTACGATGGTGTATTAGTTTAGTGATTTAAATGGTTTGTTTCTTAAGTTGGTTTTAGGATCAACTCCTTAATCACACTTATTTTATTTGAATTGTGTTATTTTTGGATAACACTTGGGGCAAGTGTTACATACAACATATTCAAAACTATAATGACTAAGTTGCACTAAATCAAAGTTCATAAACTTAATTCCAACAGAGTCAAAACTATGACCAAGTTACAATAAGTTTAAGTTAAATGATTGAGTTATATAACTAAGTCAAAATTAATTGATCAAATAATTAATTTTTCCCGTAATTTTTTTTTTGTCATCCACACAGATTTGGACAAAAGCAAGTTATCATTTTCCTCTCTTGAAGAAAAATGCTTAATCAACAAGACTTCTTGAAAAATCTTTGCACTTAGTCTTTCCTACCAATTTTTGGGAGCTTTCTTAACACTATATAAAGCCCTTTGAAAATGAAACTATTTAGAATTATTATGACCACACAACATATTTGCAAAAATGCCACTACTTCTACACGGTTTCCTTTTTAATTGGTGTAAACGCTCATGCTAAAATAAAAAAGCCTTTTTTTTAATACTAGTTTGAAATCAATTTTACCACCTAATAAGTTAGAAAGGATCCTAAATTGAGAATTTATATTAAACTTCATTAGATCCTAATTTCTTCTCAAACAGTTAATCATGTATCTCAGGTATCTCATTGATTAAGCAAGGGATATTCTTAATCCACTTAGCTTATCATAATGTTTTTTTTGGGTTTTTGCAGATATATAACTCATGTAATAGGATCAAACCAAATAAATAATCTAATATTTATTATATTTTGCATTATGGTGAGTTTATTATATTTGTTAATGATAAACGCCTTGTAACTTTTCAAATTTTCAATGATAAATTCATTATATATCAATAACAAATCTCTTGTATAACAACAATAAACCTCTTGTCTATTAATGTAAACTGGTCATACTCTCGAATTTTTATAAATTTGATTCATATTTTTTAGGTACAAGATTTTTTAAACCAGCAGGCCAATTTATCCATGTTTTAACTAGAAAGCATACTATATATGACGCTAAGTACCATAAATTAACCTCGATTGGCATTATAATTTCCGTCACTTACCACTCCTTGCTACCTTACTGTAATTCAAATGGGGGCCTCAATTTCTACACATAAGTTCAATTTAAATGAAAATTTCATTTAAATTAATCACCTCTTCATTTATATTTTATCATTCCTTCATCATCTTACTATCCCACGTTTTTCTTCCTTTTGTCGTTCATATTGTGTGTGGCCATTAAGAGATTATTGCCTCCACCTCATTAATTAACCTAATTCATCAAATTACATTTAGGTTTTAACTAACCTACCATCACCTCCTTATTTCTCTTGTTTAATTTCCACCGCCACTGCTCACTTCCTTGTCTCCCCTCGGTCAAAAGGAAAGTAATCAAGCACAGAGAGAGAGAGAGAGAGAGAGAGAGAGAGAGAGAGAGGATATTTTCAATTGCCATGCATTACCGCCACCTCATTCTTCCTCTTTTTAAGTTCCCTTCGGCCAAACTCAAAAGCATAGATGCAAAATTCCCTCTCTTTTCTCATTGCTCCAACCAAGGCGTCACTTTTCTCCTCCTCCTAAAATCTCTCCACCAAACTTCTACTCTTCAATGGCTTTCACATGGTGGTTTTAGTTTCTCCATAGCTTGAATTTCAATTCAGGAACGTGAGTACTAAGTGGGAGAATCAACAAAGTAAACCAATTTAGAGGGAGAGGTGAGTTTATACTTTGATTTGATTATTAGTGCTGTGCAAAGAAAGTCTAAAACCCAGTCAACCCGGTCTCGTTTTAAGCCAAAAAAAAATTAGTCCAGACACTGGACTGGACAGACCAGACTAAGTTAATTGTCCGGGTTAGACCAAACCTCTGATTCAATTGCAGGACCAATTTGTTGGGTTTGCATAATTTTTTGTTCTTCAAGATTATATTTATAAATATTTTTATGCGTTTTCCTCCATTTTTATAATCTTATCAATTCCTCGTTTCTTCACTCTCTAGACAGCACGATGTGATCCTCTCAATTTCTTTCCTTCTCCTTTAGTTCATGACCTTGTCAGTTTGTTCTCAATCTCTACCTATCCTATCTTCTTCTTTCTTCCACAAAGCCTCCCTCCTTCCTCTCATCTTTGATTTGTTGCAAGAAGATCATGGTTCCGATATCATCATTTTTGACAATATCCCACATTCTCAATATGTGTTTGATCTATCTTCACAGTCAACTTTGCATCTGATATCGCGCAAGTCTTATATACATGCTTTTTCTTCCACTTGTTTGCCACAATTTTTTTTTCCCAAACAAAAAACTCTAGTCTAGTACACCAGTCCGTTGCTCAAATTTCTCAATGATTAGTCCCATGCCTGCCGATTATAGAAATATCTTGAGAAACCAAAAAAAAAAAATGCCGTATATATGATAAGTGCCATGTATACAACCCGTATGCACACGTTATTCAGACAACACAAATTGCATATTCTGTATTGACATTGACCTTAGAATCATGCTATATTTTCTATATTTCCCTGCACGTTCATGCCAAACCAATCTTTTTTCTATAGATAAAAAGCCACATAATTTTCTCTTTACACCCACTAATTTCACGTGCTTTTCCAGATCATCCTTTTTCAAACAACATGACAAGAGGCACCAAGACTTTCACGTTCTTCATCTTCCTCCTGCTAGCTGTGCTTCCATCCTTTGTTGTTTCAGAGTGTACATGTGATAAAGAAAATGGAGATCGTGACAGAGCCAAAGCTCTCAAGTACAAACTAGCAGCTATAGCTTCTATTATCACTGCGAGTGCCATTGGAGTTTTGATTCCATCGTTTGGAAAGATTGTCCCAGCGTTACGACCTGAGAAGGACATCTTCTTCCTCGTCAAGGCCTTCGCGGCCGGCGTCGTATTAGCCACCGGATTTGTTCACGTGCTTAACGATGGGTTCAATAACTTGACCTCTCCTTGCTTGAGTGAACATCCATGGGCAAAGTTTCCCTTCACTGGTTTTGTAGCTATGTGTACAGCTATGGGAACCCTAATCGTAGAAACATTTGCCATGGCGCATTTCAAGAAACTTAATATGAGGAAAGTCCAAACAGAGGCCAATGGAAATGATGAAGAGAAAAACTCAGAACATGATGATGGAGAAAGTCATCATCTTCATACTGATCATCATGCAATACATGGTCATGCTCATCATGGGTCGACTGGTTTTTCTGAGACATCTCAACTACTTCGTCACAGGATCGTAGCACAGGTGGATATTTATGATTTGTTATCTTCATTGTTTTTGAGAATTACTCAATTACTTGTTATTTTATATAATATAATTATGGTCAATATAAAATGGATTTAATTAGGTATTGGAGCTGGGGATAATAGTGCATTCAGTGATAATAGGACTTTCTATGGGAACATCTGAGAGTCCTCAAACCATAAAGCCCCTGATTACTGCTATGGCTTTTCATCAATGTTTTGAGGGCATGGGCCTTGGAAGTGTTATATCTCAGGTATGAAAACTATATATATATATATATATATAATTTTATTATCAAGGGTCGTTAGTTTAAGTCAAATTAATAGTTTTTTAATTAGTAGTTATACATTATTTCTTTTGCTTTGATCTTTTTTAATTATTTTCGTATGGGTATAAAATTTTGTTTCTTTTCTCTGTTATCTTTTTTTTTTTAATATGCCTTCTAACTCGTTGAAGTCAAGTATTATTGGATGTAATTAAGGATAGCTTATATTTAAGTAGCCATAACTCCTTCCACTAGCTAAAACTAACATCTGCTGATTATTTTGATCACTTATTCAAAGTTTGTTTTTTCTACACTAATTCAATGGTCAGCATTATTCGATTTAAAATATTTAATTAATATATATTCTTCATAACTGACATTTATTTATTCATTAAAAATATTCTATTAATTTTAAATTTTATTTTGTTGTAACAATCCCGAATCATGGAATTCTCACAACTCATTCCAAAACTTATGCACACACAAATGCATAGAAGATTACTAATACTAATGTCATCTATATTTTGTTATTTTTTTATTCTAAATGTAATAGCCAGTAGTTAAACAATTTATATAGACTATGAAAATTAATTAAATTATTTCCCATTAATGAGTCAGCTTTTGTGATACTTTTCCTAAGATACACTTCCCATTAATTCAATTTAGTATTTTACGGTGAAAAATAAGTAAGAAATAGGGGTAATTTCAAAAAATACATAAGACAAAGTAGTTTAAAGTCTTATAAATAGGAACAAAACGACATCCTCAACTAGATTCCACATTTAGGATTTGAGGAAATATTATTATCTAATAAAATATAATTATTTAGTTTTTGAAAGAAAGATTTATTTTCCTTAAATAACATAAAAAAGTGTGCATTTATGTATAATCTCATAAAATCAGCACAATTCATCTTATATCTCTCCATGTTTAATTATTCTTAATAATATATTGCAGTCCAAAATATTATTATTCGTTTATTACGTCACTTCTCTATATTTTTATTACTATTTTAATTTACTTTACTAACAGCCCAACTCTCCATGAAACTTGGCAGATCCTAATTACTAAGAATTCATACTATTTGACATAAATCTTCTTGCAGTTTAACGGCGAAGCGAACAAAAGTCAAATTGGAGAACGTAGCAAAACTGTATTACGATAAAGTTTCAAGTTGTGCCTGATTAATATTCTGATTTTTCGTTTTGCTCCATTTTTTTTTTTTACTACTATAGGCAAAGTACAAGAACAGAACCTTAGCAATCATGGCATTGTTCTTTGCTCTGACAACTCCGTTGGGAATAGCGATTGGTATTGGAGTTACAAATGTGTACGATGCAAATAGTCAGACTGCTCTTCTCACTGAAGGAATCCTGAGTACAGCATCTGCAGGACTCTTAATCTATATGGCACTTGTTGATCTTTTAGCTGCTGATTTCATGATTGAGAGAATGCAAAGCAATACTCGTCTTCAAATTGGAGCAACTATTTCTATGCTTATGGGTTCTGGTTTAATGTCTCTTTTAGGAAAATGGACTTGAAACTTATTGCTACTTGTAATATTTTTGTTAGAATTTGTGTGAGAGTCAACGCTTATTTATTTGTAATATTTAAGAACTTGTGTGAGAGTCAGTTCAATCAGCTCTTTCTAGAGAGCTATTTCAAGGGCAGTGTGATTTATCATCAAGCAGCAGCATATAAATATTGATCGGCTTCATGCGCTCCCTCAATACTTTACGTGAGAGAAGCCTCAAGTCATCTATGAAACTACTTGTAGGATCAGTCTGGCTGCCCCATCAGATCTGTAATATCCTTTGGGATTAATCATCTCATTTCTGTACGATTCAAACTGTCGGTTTGTATTATCTTGTATGCTCGTATATTATATTTGAATTCAATAATTGACTCTCATAGTGCTGGTTATCTATCTTTAATGGACCAGGCCCAAAATCAAGGCTCCCTGTTACATGTGTTGTTTTTTTTCTTTTTTCTTTGGGGGGGGGGGGTTTTGGAATAGAAACTAAAACTATATGCACATTCGCAAAACAGAGTGTGGGTTGTGAATTATTCCCTCCGATTTCATTTATAAGTCCAATTTTAGAAGGTGTATTTGGTCCCATTTATAAGTCACGGTGCGTCTTTTTAGGTAATATTTGAGAGGTATTTCCAAAATTACCCTTCATGAGAGAGAAAAAGTAACAGGACATTAATTTTTAGATTTGTTATATAAGAGCATGTTTGGAATTTTACTTACTTTTATTCCTTGTACTTTTATTGTATTGATATTGATGAGGTTGATAGAAATGACTTATAAATAGGACCGGAAGGAGTACATGAGATCGGTGTGAAAACTGTAGTCTCGAGACTCTAGAAATATTCTACACTTCCAAAACTTTTCTCTTCTTTAATGTATTTGTTGTGAGCAAAGATCTATTAAACCCTGGTCTTACCTTTTTGTAAATTGCATTTTTTCACTGTCCCTACTACAGTGTAATCGCTTAAATGTCCTTGTCCAGTCGTTACCTCCTCATATTTGTTTATTGTAGCGAGGTCCTTGCGCTAGTAGGTGTAATTTTTCTTTTTTTAAAAAATAATTGGTTGTAACTTAGTCAACAATGAATCACTGTTTACTTAATAATAAAAAATAATTTATTACTGTTCTTTCTACTGTATAATTCCTTTTATGTCCTTGTACGTATTAATAAATCCCAAACCTGCGGTTGTTCAATGTTGTTGGTGCTTTAATTCTCCAATTTTCCGGTAAATTGAGGATTTGGTTTCCGCATCAAAACACTGCCGTTTGGCGGTGTTATTTTTTCTTTTCTTTTTTTTAAGCCACAAATTTATTACTATAATATTAAATAGCTATTATAAAAATATTATTTTAATATTTAATAAATAAATAAATATTAAGATGTTAAAATTGAATCTGAATGGTTCAAATAAAAATTTTAGTTTAAACAATTCAAAACTATACTGAAAAAATAAAAAAAATAATTTGAAAAGTTTAAAATAAGAGTTAAATTTAACAAAATGAGCTAGTTTCTTACACTGTAATAAATTGATGTTTGAATTTTTATTAAGAGAAATACTCAATTATACCTTGAATGATATTATTTTTCATAGATAAGCAACTGTATAAAATCAATCAAATAAATATTTTGTAAAATATTTTAATTACAATTCTAATTTTTTCAGTTTAATTTTAAACTGTTTAGATCAAAATTTATATATAAACTTTTCAAGTATAATGTTAATAAGTTAAAGTATTCAGGTTCAATTTTAACATTTTATTATTTATTTTTTATTAAATATTAAAATAATAATTTTATAATATTTATTTATTATTATTATAATAAATTTGTGGTTAAAAAAGAAAAAAAAAATTACTGCCCAACGGCAGTGTTTTGGTGCTAAGCAAGGAGCATCGAAATCAAGTCAGTAAATTGAATAGCCCATCTCTTCCGTTGTCATATTTTTTAATTTTTTTTTTAAATACATTCACATAGCTTGCTGGCTCTCCATTCGTTTCTAGATTCTTCAACAACGACGCTTTTTTTATTTTGTAAATAATAATAATATTATTATTATTATTAACAAATAGTTTTTTTTTTCTCTCTTGATCGCTGATAGCTGTTCTTTTATTTGAACAATCATATTCAAGACTAAATATAAACACCTTTATTAATAAATATTTGAATCTTAGTTTAACCCCTTAGATATAACTTTTGTTGGTACAAAATAATAAGGTATTAAAATAATAATTAATGAACATCATAAATCCTAAACAATTGCGCAAATATCATCTAAGACCTTAAACTTTTGATATGTGCAAAAACTTTTATCAACTTCTAAATTTCAAACAGATAAAACCCCAATGTTAAGTTTAAGGATTAAAATGAGTGTCATATCAATTACGACTAGGCCCAATAACTATAAAAGTAAGTGTCACTTTCTCTAACTTAATAGCTAGGTTTCAAGTTCCTATTACTTTGTGGTAAAAATGAACAGGGTTTAAGATACTATTCATACAATAGCTTATAGTTTATAATGTTCATTAACCTTTGAAATAAGGGAGAATGACAATTAAGGACCTGCTAAGAACATTAATTCCAATTACGGATTGTGAAATTTTGAAATCAGAGTTAAGGACCATAGTCCTTAATTGTGATAAAAAAAATATAATTTGTGAAGTGGGATTCACTAACGCGACTTGAAAATTCACTATCAACTTGAGAAAATTACTAATGTATATTGTAAAAACATGAAACCCCACTTAAAAATGAAATGTTTAACAAAAAGCACCACTTAAGAATTCACTAACTAGACTTGAAAAAATTTTTAACGTATATTGTGAAAAAATGAAACCCCACTTGAGAATCATTAATAAAAAGTGACTTATCCAAATTGGTATTTTTTATTAAACAATCGATTCTTAAGTGAAGTTTCATGTTTTCACAATATACGTTAGAAATTTTTTCAAGTCTAGTTAGTGAATTCTCAAGTGGTACTTTTTGTTAAACATTCCATTTCCAAGTAGGGTTTCATGTTTTCACAATATACATTACAAGTTTTCTCAAGTTGGGTTAGTGAATTTTCAAGTGACAATAATGAATCCCACCTCACAAATTATATTTTTTTAATCACAATTAAGGACCATGGTTCTTAACTAGGATTTCAAAATTTCACGATCTGTAATTGGGATTAATGTTCTTAACAGGTCCTTAATTGTCATTCTCCCTTGAAATAACTTAGTATATGTTTGTAGCAAATTTTATTGATGGCCATTCTTTTTTCACAAAATGAAATGTCTTTTTTTTTTGCATTTTTTGTACTCATAATCTTTCTCCACTTTGTTTAATAAAATTAATGCATATATATCTGATTGCGACTATCATTTAATAAAATTTTTATTTATGATATCATCTTAAAAAGTTAACATATTTTATATTGTATTTTTAAAGATAAAATAATGTTAACAGTTTTACATTGTATTTCTATGACTTCATAGTAACTTATTTTTTATTTATGTAGTTTCCAAATTATCTTTAAGTTTTTTATTAATAATAAGTTCATAAATAAATAAGATGTTTATATTTTCAGCATGAACAAAAATAATAAATTATATCGTAAAAACTTACAAGTTGTTATTAAAAATAATTTATTGTGCGTTTAGAGCATGAATAATAAATCTTGCTAATGACCTTTTTTTTTTTTTGAAAAAGCGCTACATTCTTATAAGCGATCTTCAAATCATAACAAGGTATATTTATGTTCTATTTGTTTCAATTTTGTGTTGCATAAAAATATGTTGACACAATGAATAAGTTTCTAATCTCACTTCCTGCTTTATATTTTATGAGTTTCACTGGTTGATTTCAAATTAGCTTCATATAAATAGTGACACTTAATGCAATTATTAATTGTATATTCGGTAATTAGTTGCAAAGTCCCTACTCTTTCCAGACTTTACCATTCACAATCACATATAACAATATAATCATTATACAATATTAGAGTAATGGTCCTCAAATTGTTTTCAAAATGTGGGATCTCAACTTCATAAAACATATGTTCAAATCAGAGAGCTAACAAAAGTGCAAATACAATTTTATGACTCAATGAGGCACAACATTTTTCTCTTAAAAAAGTGCCATGCATTGAGGCTTACACCACCATGTGCCGTGGCATGTGATACAGAGCCATAACTCTATTCTTTTCTATGCCATATGCCGCGGCTTGGCACACCATCTAGTGCGGCGCATACGATGACAGTTCAACAAGAAAATTTCCATTGTATGCTGTTTTCACATCCAACGTTCGATTGAAGTGATTCGAATGCCAGACAAAACTTATAACATATTCTAGCTAATGAAACAAGTTTGGACTTGATTCGGTGGCCCGATTTAAAATTGGACAATCAGGTGTAAAAAGCTACTTTTTCTTTCAAAACTTACACCTTAAGTGTTGAATTCTCATTTGTTGCCCCATTAGACCACTTTGAACCTTGAACCAAGTCCAAAAAGGAATATATACACCTGATTAACATATCAAATTACATATATTACATCAATTACTCATATTGACCTCTCAATGTCACATTACACACTTGTAGACTTATATGAGGCACAATTTATATAACACACATGTATACATAAATTAGTTCCACTTTCAATTATCCAACTCTTATATATGGGGCTCCGCCTCACCATATGGACGGGAATCACAAATATAATTGACTCTTCCAATTAGAGCTTAGCCTCACCATTTATGTCAAGTTCTCATATATACACATAATTTCACATCAATTCACATATATATAAGTGGAACAAGTTACAAAATAACATACACTTGATTGATTTGCATCTAAGGTACCCATCACTAAGGCACCCTCGATAAGATGCAATATCATATATGTATATATACAAGCAAGTTTTCATTCACAATTTATATACACATTCATATTCTTTCCATATATATGTCTGCATTCTAGTTGGCAATTCAATTATAACATCTTATTATACATTCATTTACACAAATGGTAGTCATATCACTACCAGTCAAGGCGACTCTTTCCTCGCTTCCTTTCTTGACCTTCGTGTGCTCTCTTCACCTATGTACAAAAGTAATGAAGTGAGACGTATGTCCCAGTAACTTGAATATAACCCCAATTACTAATTAGTAAGCAAAATCATAAACAATAGATAAAGCAACATGTATTTTAGTAAAAAAAAAATCATATGCACATACAAAATTTCATTCTCGTCAACCTCAACATGCTCATGCTCATGCATTCCTAGTTCCACCTAGCGGAAAAATCTCTATACTCGGACCAAGACTTTCAGTTATATAGAACAAGGCCCACCACACTACTGTTCAGACTAAGTATCCTCTTTGCGTATGGGTAGTCTCCTAGTGTTA